ATATATATCAGTCTGGCGAGTAAACTAAAAAATTTACTAGCCAATGGCGATTCAATTGCTAAGGTGTTCGTAGAGGGCTGTTTAAAATAGCATCATATGACCCCTTTAAGAATACCCTTATAATGTATTATAAATACGGGCTTCATAGAAAGTGTTACCAACATTATTATAAGCTTACCGTTGTGAATTGGGCTTAGGTGAACACTGGCTGGTTATGTACTTGCTCAAATTAATTTAGGATCATTTTTAATCAAAAAAAGTTACGCACTGCAGCTTTAAAATGAACACTGGCTGGTTATGTACTTGCTCAAATTAATTTAGGATAATTTTTAATAAAAAAAAGTTACGCACTGCAGCTTTAAAATGGCCTATACATATTGTGCACTGTATTCCACTGTAAGTCTTCTAAAGCAATGTGGAGAATTCTGAAACTGCTTAAATAAGACGCAGTAAAATATGGCAAAGATGTTTTATTTGCCCACAATTGAGAAATTATTTTGTCACTAGTAGTTTGTAATACGTGTTTACCAAATCAAGAACTCTCTGAAGAGTTCTTTGAAATGAAGTGCATTCAGCCCCCTTATTATTTTATTTTATTTTTTTCAAATTTTATGTTGCCTTGTGCTAAAATGCTTTAAATAATGTTTTCAGTCTACACTCCACATCCCATAATGACAAAGCAAAAATCAGATTTGCGATAAACTTAGTTTAGATGCATCCCATTTCTCCAGATCTTTGAGATGTTTCTGCATTGGAGTAAAACAAATTAAATGAATTGGAATAATTAAATGAATTGGAAAGGCACAAACCTGTCGAGACCACAGCTCAGAGACAGGACTGTGTTGAAGCACAGATCTGGGGAAGACTACTCCACAAATTCTGCTGCATTGAAGGTTCTCAAGAACACAGTGGCCTCCATAATTCTTAAAGGTCAGACGTTTGGAAAAACCAAGCTGAGCTATTGGCAGATAAGAGTAAGAGAGGTAACCAAGACCCTGATGATCACTCCTTGATGCTTGAGCTCCAGAGGTCATGTTTGGAGATGGGAGGACAACCTCGCTCTGACACTCCACCAATCTGTGCTTTTTGGGAGAGTGGCCAAATGAAAGCATCTCCTAAGTGCAAGACACATGAAATTACAAAAAGCACCTAAAAGACTTCCATACTGAGAAAAACAAGATTATCTGCTCTGACAATCTTCTCTTCCAAGCTTCATTTCCAGAGGAAACCAGTGCAGTGCTGTCTTAACGGAGGTGGTAGCATCATGCTGTGGAGGTGTTTTCAGAGTTCACCTTCCAACTGGACAGTGATCTTAAGCACACAGCAAAGAAAATGCAAGAGTGCCTTAAGGAGAACGCTGTGAATGTCCCAGTCACGGGACATTCAGTCAAACATCCAATCAATCCAATAAACATCTCTGGAGAGACCTGAAAATAGCTGTCCACAAATGGCCTTCATCCAACCTGACAGAGCTTGAGATGGTCTGCAGAGAAGATTGTCAGAAATTCGCCAAATCCAGATATACAGAGCTTGTGGCGTCATACCCAACAAGACTTCAGGCTGTAATCCCTGCCAAAGGTGCTTCAACTAAGTACTGAGTTAAGGTTATTATGAATACTTTTGCCAATGTGATTTTGCTTTGTCATTTTTTCAGAATGGGTTTTGGAGTTTAGATTTAAAAAAAATAATAATAATAATAATAATTTAAAGCAATTTACCATATAAATGTTTGATCACATTTACTGTTGTTCTGGGAATTTTCCAGTTGAAATCCAGACATTTTATATGAAGCCCCAGAGATGAAATGCAGGGGAAAAAAATATTTCTATCGTGGCCACAAATTCCAATTCATTCCCACAACTTACTAATACGTCAGCGCAATTTACTAATTCATCGCCTCGTTTTAAATAAATCATGAGCACAATTTAGCAATTTTTTACCTTGTTTTAAGCACATCATGTACACAATTTATTAATTAATTCCCTCATTTTAAATAAATCGTGAGCACCATTTAGGCCTACTAATTTATTACCTTGTTTTATGAAAATCCATTCTGTTTGTTGAATAATTTGTGAATGGCATATTGCACCCTCGTTGGCAACAGGCTATATCCCCATCACAGTCCTGTTACACTTTATTCATAACTGCAGCAAGTGGCCTTTTCTCAATTCGCAAGTATTAGTAAAAAATACTCGTGCTTTTACTAAAATGAGGCAACAAATTAGTAAATTCTGCTGGCTTGGGAATGAATTGTTTACTCGTGGCAAAAATATAATTTATTTTTTCCCACATGTCATATCCAAGATTCAGTAATTTCAGTAGGAATCCATGTGATTTGGAATTTTGTGTAAAGGTGAGAATTCCACACATTTTTTCCCCCCAATGGATTCAAGTTGGTCGTTCGATACCATGGACTGTTAAATTTCACTGCAATTTTGCTAACCTGTTGCACCTTAAGGCTGCAGCATAACAAAACGAAGCCGTCTGAATACTTTCTGAATGCACTTCAGTCTGTTACATCAGCCCGCATGAATGTAAAGCAGAATGAGAGATTCCTGTTTATTTTCTGTATACACATTTTTCCTTCGAGAAATTGCATTTTTGCCTTCACTGAATTGCATTCATCCAGTTGCTCGAGAAGGTCTTGTTATAACCGTAAAAGGTTTTCATACTCTTCCTCTTTTCTTTACCACCATATCCTGCTGTCATCCCCAGCAGACCACCAAGACAGTGAAGAAACCGACAAAGAAGAAAGCCACCACCACCACGGCCAACAACAATGCTGAATCCCCATGAGTCACACTGCGTTTATCCATCCCTGGACAACACACACACATTCACGTGCTTTCCCATACTAACATTAGTGCTCTTCGCTTTTACAGATACGTTCTTACAACTGCAGATACACACATAAACTAAGATGCATCGCCTGAGGCTGTTTTTATCTAGTAGGTTTAATGCGGTGAAGATGTTAAGACGTCTGGCTTCATGCATTCATTTTCTCTGTTATCACTCCCATGCGTGTGTTTCAAGTAAGGCTGGGTCTTGTCTTTTTCTCTGTAGGCCTTAATATTTTCAAAAGCATGAGATCAGAAAGCAGTTGCCTGCACATGATCATATATCAACACGTCTGAGCCCACTGTTTCATATAACCACAGAATCCATGCCAGAGCTTCATGTTTTCCATATTAGAGTCCAATTCCCTTTTTTTTTTAGCATGTAGGTCACACACTATGGGACGAACAAGAATCGGGAACAGAAAAATCGGGCTATTAAATGACTTGATTTAAAGAGTCCGTGGAGAGTTCTGGAGGCGCCCAGAGCAGTTCTGTTCTCATTCCGGGTCACCGAACATCCCGAGCCCGAGACTTGTTGTGAATATTCATGATCAAAGAGGTCAGATGTCTACTGGAAGCTGCAGCCACTCAAACGCTCTCGCCATTAATAGTGCTTTTGTCAGCTGGGGCTGGAGGCGTTCGGCGCACATAAGCTGTCCCTTGTGCTAATTTTACATTCGTGTAGCGTGATGAAACATTATAAGACATGTATACAAGCGGTAGATGAGATGGCAGGTGTCATCTGGTGTTTTGGTAGGGTGCAAGATGAAAACAGAATCACATGTTGGCCAGTAAAGGACAAGATCCCTCTGTCTTGAGTAATCTGTTTCTGAAGACTGAAGGTTTTTAGTCAGTTCTTGGCTTTCTGTTGTTGTGGCTTGCTTAGTGAACTCAAATATTCCATATCAGTTTGTAATATAAATGTCGAACAGACTCGGTTAGCGCAACGCAAAGCATAGCATGCGCTGAGAGTTGGCAGATGATTCATTGTAATGAAATGGTCAACCCTCGTTGTTGAAAATCACCTTAAAAGGTGCTTTTGGAAAATATGCTGGCTTAAAACCCTCTGGTCCTTTTTTAAAACATCATTTTTTTTTTTTTATTAGATCCTGTGAACAAAGTTCATTTGAAACTGCATGTAGCCCTAAATCCAGATGTGGGCAGTTGTGTTTCCCAGCACAGCTGTTCCGAGTTGAAGGATTTCCTGATCTTAAATTCAGCTGCAGTTTGCAGTACTGTGTTTTGCATTACGACATGCAATACTACTGAGAGCTGGTAGGTGGCGCTGTTGTACAGGAAAAGAGCACAGTGCTCTTCCTGTCAGATTGAATGATTACACATGGACAGGGAGCGGTTTTGAATTAAAATGTATTTAAATCAGTCTGTTAATTATCTGAAATTTTCCTGAAACGTTTGTATAATACTATTGACTGTACAAAATATCTGCCTTTTAATAGGCTTTTTAAGTTAAACATTTCTTTTTTTTGAAGTTTACATTTAATCACTTTAGTAGGGTTTTTTTTTTTTTTTTTTTTTAAAAAGGGCAGTTT